TTCACCGGATGGCGGAGGCTTCAGCGAAACGTAGCAATTTCGGCTTGTTCTGTCTACTGATAACCTGGATTCTGAATTCAGGTTATCCCGCTCAAACCTTGTTCGACCTCTCTCTCTTAAAATTATCAAGAACAGTTTGAATCGGTGGTGCGGATTTGATGGGACACATTTCGGTGGCTAACTGCAGTTGCTGCTCTCTTCACTATCTTTCGTTGTTATTGCGCAAGGGCAGGTTTAATTGGCGCACGATAGCTTTTCATGTGTTGCATCTGGGCAGCCAACATGGTATATGCTACCATAATGATAACGGTGAGCAATTGCCTCATTTGTGTGAAGATGCTCGCTTATTTCTTGCGAGCACTAACTTCGGACACAGCACTCACCTTAGGGTGACATGGCGTCCACCAGCATCGAATCAGCCATGGACGCAAATCGATCACATTGCGATCACTTACCGCTGGAGAGGTTACGTCCAAAACTGTCGCTGGATTTGGAGCACATGTGTGGATCTTGACCATGCACTTGTATGTGCTGATCTGTGGGTGCGTTGTGGTGGACACCTACGACGACTCTATGAGCGCATAGACACTAACCAATTGTCGAAGCCAGATGTTCTGAATGCGTGCCCAATTATGCTGGCATTCGGGTTGAGTAAGCGCTCACTGAATACAGCTGAAGGTCACTGGTCGCATGTTCACCAGACCTTACTAGCAGCAGGTAAATCTTTATGTGGCAGGTCTAATAGCCAACATGGACATTGGGTCTTTTCGCAGTCTCTGGAACTTAACGATGCTCGCTGGCACATTCCGACTGGAAATGCACACAATGAGATCCGCAGGCTTGAATACAACAATTCGTGCTAGCCTGAGAAGAGACCGCGAATTCTGGTGGTCTCATCGTGCGCCAGAGAGGGAAGTGGCCGATGCCCTTAGTAACCATCGGAAATTAGTCCGTCTGATACAGGAAACGATCATCAGGAGATCTGGTGTGAGTGAAACTAAATATGAGGAGAATGGACAGCCTATCCACAGCTTGTCAAAACGCATGGAGCGTTGGACTGAGCATTTTGAAAGGCAATTTAATCTGCCGGAATTGTTAGATTCCTCGCCAGCCAATGATCGCCTTACTCCCTAGGCTGTCCTTTTGGATCCGCTCTCGCTGAGAAGTCGCATGTGAGATCGGACTGCTGAAGTTGAATTGAGCCGCAAGACCGGATGATCTTCATCGAGCCCACTTCAAACTCGGGGGGCCCTACTCTTGTTGTTGACTTACACGAATTACTAGGGAAATTGTGGGGGCTGGAAACTGACCCAACCGACTGGAGCCGCTCTGTTATTGTCCTGATCTTCAAGGGATGCTCTAGTTCGGAATGCGGCTGTCATAGAGGAATCCGTCTGATCTCAATTACCTCTGAATTGCTTTCGTCTGTCGTTCTCCACAGACTGACTGACACTCGTGAAAGCCAACTTCGTGGGGACCATTCCGGGTTACGTAATCTCGACTGCATTGACCACATCGACTGCATCAGTTGTTGGGGCACCGCCTCATTTATTGGCGACCCACCATAATCGTGTTTCTCGACATCAAAGTTGCCTGCGATTCGGTTAGTCGATATGCTCTTTGGGACTGTCTACTCAGGCAAAGTGTGCCTGAGAAATATGTAAATATCATGCAAGCGCTTTACGCGCGTAGCTCGAGGGCTTACTGCAAGCTGTCTCCAACGGTGCAATACAGAGCTGCCCACTACCACCTTTTCTCTTCAGCTTCTCTATTGACAAACTCATGGAGATCGCGTTCACAGGGCACGACTTGGAAGGTATGGAGCTGCTCCTAGGCGAACGATTTTTTGTTTGAAGTATGTTGATGCTATGGCCCTTATCAGCGGTAGCTCACAGCCCGTGCCAAACTTTTCTGCGCAGATTAGCACTGGCTGTCAGCTGTTTCGGGCTATGCTTTTTATCCTCGGAGTGCTAAACTTGCCCCCAAGGTTGGCAGGAAGCGCCTCTCACGCCGACTCTTAGTGGGGATCAGCTAGAAATCGTTCAAAAATTTCCCTAACTTTCAGCCTCGTTGGAATTAATGGCGAGGCCGCACGATTGGCGGCATCCGGTTCCGGATTTGCCTGTCACTGTGTCCTCCATAGGACAGCCACAGGACCTCTGTGCCTACAGAGGAACCTTGGGTGGCTTGCGCTGCACCACCCACAGCTCCATCCGCATACCCTACATCCAGTGTAAACCGAAGGAATAAGACCGGAAGGCATGTGGATGGGAGCCACGTTTCATCAACGGAGCCGGCCCACCTTCAACATGCACAGAAGCACCATTCTTGTCTGCCTATGTAGGGAATCATGCATACCAGGCATACACAAGCGGGTTTGCTGGTCCGAAGTCCGTTCCACACTGGATGGAACCACTTTTTGAACTTAGCAAGGCCACAAGAATCGTGCACGCGGTCCCCCCCCCCAGCAACGATTTAGTCTCCTGGAGCCAACAATCTAGGTGGAGGATATTAGACAGGTAGACACCTTGTCAACATTCACATCAAGCGCATCTACACATGGGATTTTAAACAACTAACACAGAATTTGCAGGAAAACAACCGAAAAATTGACGCAGAAGATGTAGCAAAAGAGCAGAGCTGATTAAATCAAGTGCAACAACCTTTAGTCAGATTAAAAACATCTGGTTTAAGTGTAAGTCAGTTTAGCCCAACTGCGATGAAGAAGCATCATGTATGCAACATCAACCTCAGCATGAGGCCACGTACCGTATAGTAAATCTACGAGGCGCTTTTGTTAATCTTGGTCAGCTATAGTGCTGGCGCGACATCACTGTCTCCTTAAAGGTTGGGGTCTATAATGGAGCCGTACGTTCGACTCTGTTGTACGGTTGTGAAACCTGGCCCATTAGATCGGCAGACATAAAGAGACTAGTTACGTTCGACCACCGGTGCCTTCGCGGTTTGACTCAACTCTGTTGGAAACACCATGTGAGCAACGAGCGCGTTCGACACCTTGTTTATGGCACAACCAGTAGTAGTGAACCACTCAGCACCGTTATATCATTCACCAGTCTCCGATGGCTCGGCCACGTGTTGCGCATGCCACCACACCGACTCCCGCGACGTGCTCACCGTGGGTGTGAATGGTAGGAGAGGAGTGGTGGTCAAGCGATTACTTAGTCAAGAAGAACTAAGGCCCATTGTTCTAAGTTGGCCTCAGAGCCTTTCGGCTCCCTGGTTGGGATCCGAAAGACGATGAACACGTTTGGTCGAATACACTTGTTGACATAGCAAGGAGCCGACCTCAGTGGCGTTTATGTTGTGAACTCCTTTGTCCCTCCCCGTCGCTTAACTTCCCCCTCCAACCCCGATCTCATTCACTAAGCACAATGTAACCATTTTGTGTCATAATAGCAGGCTGTTAGCTCTCCGGAACGATGTCCATCCGTTACCGATGACTCAGCTGGCGTGCCTTTGTTACATGTATTTTTACGTATTGCGGCGCAATACCTGATGTGCTTTCCACCTCTAGCTAGGGTGTATAATGATGATGAATAACGATTGCCCGTCTGGTCATTTTGGCTGCGAGCAAGTAGCGAATCTCTTCTCGAACCCCAACAATCTCACCAACCTTTCATCTGTCCGACAGCCGATCTTGTAGCAGCTGATACAGTGTAGTATGCAGAAGTTCCAGCACTTCTCATGGCAGCTGCAGTCATTTTTCACCGTGGGCTGAAATAATTACCCAGTCGTCATTTGAGGGATCGTTGACTACAGTGTATGACAAAAACCAAAGGAACTAGGTGTTATACCAAATCACCGGAGTCGGCACATGTGTTCCAAGAGGACCAGTAGTCGAGGATTGAACCATACTGTCTGGTACCTACAGCGGCGTGATCTATTTTGGTCCATCGGAGCCTTATTATTGCTAGCCGATAATCTTGGATGCAAGAATAAGAAGCATGTTTTGAACTTGAACCGTCATAATTTTGCTGCGCGACAAATGCCATATCCATGTGACATGTACTTCATAGCGATTAGGGGTTGCATTGATGAAACATACGATGGATATAATCCTGCCAACTTAGGCAGTTATAACTCAGCAGGCTTCCCATTGCAACACTAGAGGTTTCCTTCCCAAACGCCAATTGGCGAAACTCGCCGATGCTCACTCATTGTTCCCACCCGGACGTATACAGTACTTCGCATACGTCTGTAGTCAAAGAAGAGCAGCCTTAGTGCCTTCAGAATGAAAGCATCCGCGTTCTTTGTCTGTACGCTGGACGCACTGTTGCCGTATTCATTCCACCATTGATGGTTATGCCTATCCGTTTTCATAGATGAATGAAACTTTGATAGCTCAACTTACATTATGTCTATGTATCTTGACCTCCCTGGTAGTATGAAGACCCGTAGTGATGAAGCTACTTAGATACGTGACTCGATTGACCTTTTCGACTGGTATTCGGCCCAGTCTTGCGATAGTGCGTTGTGATTTGAAGGTGCGAAGGGCATACCCAAACGTGCAGCGCTCTGCATCAGCTTATCCAGAAGCGTTTATACAGAGATTACAATACTGGAGCGCTGGTACAAAATAATGTTCTGTTAACTCCGTTGCTGCTAACACTTCATCCCTGCTGCTCCTACATTCACAGCCGTCGATAACTACTTCGTTTTTTCCTTTCTGATCTCTGCATTGTTCCAGTGCAATTTGACATTTCCGTTTGTGGCACCCGCTGACCTACTATTATTTAACAAATGCATTGCTCCACATCTTTTTATCTTCCTCTGGGTTTTATTCGGAATGCGGCTCCCGTCTATCTTCTAGTCATCTTTATAACTACGGCGAACTTTGCAGCTTGCCGTTGCTATTCCGTGATGTTATGCTTCCTATTCTACTGGCCTTTACTTCCTGTTAAAAATGGCATGTGTTTGTGTTTTATTCGATGCTCTGTTGCTCTTTGTTTTCATGCACCCAATTTACCTACACTTTACAGATTCCGAAAGCTTGCTCGCTCGGCTTTTGGAGCGTGTGGCCACGGGCATTGATCCGCGCGCCATGTTACACGCAGAGCGTGGACTGGAACAATCGATCGTACTATTCACGCCTTCCAGCGGCCAATCTGTTGCCGTGGCCACTGCACGTGGGATGCAGCAATTCCTTCGTGGTCACCTGAATGTCATTCAGCGTCAGTTCTCCGTCCAACCTTCTTCCGGTCATCATAAGTCCTCTTTAGCAAACCACCTCCCACACAAACCCGTCAATAAACCTCACCGGACCCATTTTGTGTGCAGCGCTGGGCTTTTGATGGTCGTCTTGGAATGCGTTGGTCAGTTGCCACAACGATTTCCCTATCTAGCAAAAGCCACTTTGGATGCTCTGAGTGACTTTTTGCTCGACCCATCGCCTACCCTAAGTCGCCTAAACAGGCAGTTGCGCCGTCTTGAAAATTCACGCCAAGAATTGGTTACTCAGCTCTCTATGCGAAAAGTAAGTGGTTGAAGACTATCTCTATTCCGTTGTATGCTTCTTTTACCACCTTTCTTGCGATATTAAAAAAATAAAAAATCTTTTATTTCCCGACGATGCGAAAGACTATTCCCAGATAGGGAAAGATCAAAATTGCAAATTTTCTCATTTAGTCCCCTCTACATATTAGATGGGAATATGCATTGTTATATCCATGTCACTCTCACACATGCACGTTGTTCAGGGTGAAGTACAGGAGATTGTGCTGGGGTTATATCCTCCGTTAACTGATCTCGCGTCGATCTGGACCAGCGCAGTCTGACCAGAAAGCGGAAATGGGACTTTCGTGGATGAGCCATTCTTTCAAACTCACGCTGACGTGCAATCCAACTTCATCGATCGATTAAAACACGTTCAGAAGTACTAGTCTGTATTGGACTCGGAGCAAATAAAATAAACAATAGTATCAAGGTAGGTAAGGAACGGCTGTAAAATGATTATCAGTAAAAACCAATAAAACTTAAATATCTGGCAACGAATTATCCAAACATATTGACATCAGTTTGCATGGAATATATAAAATTTAGCAAGCGTTCTTGTAATTTCCCCAGTAGTTGTTTTAGGACATCTAAAAATACGGACTTATACCGGAAGCCTTACCCTGTGAGAAAAGCACTTCAGAATGAAACGAAGATTCTAATAGAAGCAGACTCTGGCGCTAAGTACAATGAGAGCGAAAGGTGCCTCGTTTGGTAGATGACAACAGTTCTGTGCGACGCAGCTATAATAGTAAAAGCGACCTAGATGATGGGAACATAATTTCTAACTTGTCAAACGGAGTCTAAAAATGTGGTATGGCACAATATTTGTGGTCATGAGTTGTAGTGGAAAACTTTATTGTCGCTATACTCCGGATTATTGCGGCATACAGTAAGACTTGTGTGCATCACCAGTCATATTGTACCTATTCTGAACAATATTAACTTTTATTACACCAGGATAAATTACGAATAATAGTATAAGAGTGGAAGAACAAGCTTTGAAAAAATAGGAACTGGGTGTCTACCCATCACTGAGCCTGAGATTTAACAGGCGCATGGTGGGAAATGGAGTCAGGTAAAAGGGAATTTCATGGAGCTGGCTAAGGTAAAGTGTGGAGGCGGTCGAAAATCCTGGAAGTCCGGCTATCCAAGATGACAGGGGCCACTCTGACACACGGTTAACTTTCGGGCCAGATTAAACGAATATAAAATATTGAAGAGCAAGATCATAATAATGCACGGAAAATGATCTGGCTTCTCATTCTACCAATCTGCCAGTGTTGACATTAGCAGATGGCGAGCGTTCAAGTCTGATTACAGTTAACAGGTGGTGAGCACCAAGATGAGATGAAGTGGAGTGACAAAAACCTGGGTCATCAGAGGAATAGTTAACTAACTATCTGGAATATTATGGTATGGAGTACAGAGGTGAACCTGTTTTCCAAACCAAGATAAAAAAAGGAAATCAGATGATCAGTAACCAATGCAGGACGGTTAGGAGAGCCAGTGAAACGAAGTGAACCGAAGCCTTCTAGCGCTAGGCAATCCGGTAGCCCAAGTGTGGCAAATAAAACATTGCACATAAAAGGCAAAATAAAAAGGACAGATAAGCAGGGTCAGAAGTTAATGTACACTGTGAGATCTAAGCCGAGCAGCATTTAAAATGCGGTAGATGTGTGGTTCGACCTTTACAGTTCTATGGGCCTCTGTCATAAATATCGTCTAGAGTTGTAGATTCGCCCAGTATACGTAATACCTCCTCTACGGTGAGGTGGTTGAATACTTGAACCCGACATATATGCTTAGTATTGTCGAATCTAATGGATTCCGGCAGCTTATTCCATAACATTGTATACTTTATGAGAAAGTATTTGACGCGCAACCTTGTACGCACTCCATGGACGCAAAAGCTGGATGATGTATTTCTAGTTGGATGTTGATGCAAGTGCCAAAGTGGACAGTACCTGACTCCCCAGAACTGGTATGCGCTAAATCAAACAGGAATATTAGATTCATCTTTATTCTTTTCAACCATATTGATTCTGGCTTCAGCATTTTACACCGTTCTTGATAATTCAAGGATCCAAACCCTAGTAACCGCTTGGTAAAAGAACGTTGACTCTGTCGCACATTTTTTCCATTTCTGCATACTAATGGGCAATATTCTAAGACTGGACGCGCATATGTTTTATACATAGTTAGCCTAGAGTCTTTCAAAGGTAACATATTGAAAATACGTGCTATGATAAATCTCGCTTTGAAACTGACATCATGCACCTGTTCGAAGAACTTGGAAGAGCTTGAGTAGCGAACTCCGAGGTCACGAATAATTGTGCAGCAGGTATTTAATTTGTCGTCTAATGTCAGTATATCATTAATAAGACTGCATCTGAAGAATAGGGTTTTACATTTGCCCACAGGGAATTTCATTTTCCACTCTCGGCACCACTACTGAAGAGCGAAGAGCTCCATCTGTATTGTTTAAGCACCGTACGGTTCATTTATGCTATCAAAAGCGAACACAACTTTGATATCGTCCGCGAAAAGAATGGGTCTGCCATGTCGAAAGATTCGGAAAATGTCATTTATATATAGTATGAATAGCAGTGGGCCTAAAACGCTTCCCTATATGACTGCGCTGGTTACTCCAATAGGTGGATACGCAGTTTCCCACTCTGACACATGGGTGCATGTAGATAAGAAAGATGACACCATGCTACTAACGGGTTAAGAAACCCGTAAGAGGTTGTTAAAAGTTCTGCATGCGGTACGCGGTCGAATTCTTTTTCCATGTCTAGGAAGAGAATAACCAACGACTGCCCGGAGTCAGCTAACTTTGTTACGTAGTCCAGCAATTCAAATTGGCAAGTTTGACATGAACGACCATGGAGAAATCCATGTTGCGAGCTGTGGATCAGCTTTTGTGAATTAAGAAACTTAATGACTCTTTCTTTGGTTATTCTTTCTATAATACGAGTCCATATGGAAGTTTGGCTAATGGGGCGGTAATTTGGTAGCTCGTGACGTGATCCACCTTTGTGTCGAGGTAGGATGGTGGCCCGTTTCCACCTAGCAGGGTATACACCAGTCTTAATTGACAAGGTGAATATGTTTAGCAGGAACAGGGGAATATCGGACCCGGCGAGTTTAAGCAATGCTGGTGGTATGCTGACAGGCCGAGGGTGAAAAGAATGCTTTAGGGCGGCTATTTGCATGCTAATACTGTACAGGTTGAACTCAACTGTATCTATTGTTTCAGTGGTGAGTGGAGGCCATCTTTCTTGGGAAACACAGGCGCCTGTATTATATATTATATGTATTTGCAATGGTCTACGAATAGACATAAAACCATCAGAAACCATGGGGTACAGAAATAGTAAAAGAAAACACAAAACATCAAAGTCCATGGTTTGGTCAGAGGGCGAGATACTACTCGGTTGCCCAAGCCGAAGTAGGGTTTTGACTTAGGGGACACCACCCCGAGTCTTTGGCTGAATAGCCTGCTCGCAAGGCAGCGGAGCGAATTCAGGGAATCGCGCCCATTGGGAGCCGGTAAGTGATTGCTCAGTTCGTACGCCTTTCGTTTGTTCCTTTGTCAAATTGGGCCCAATGCTCCCCAGAATTATAGCATAAATTTGCTGGGATACAATACTTCGCCAGGATGAAGCAAGGGGCAGTGACTTTATTTAGTGGCGAGTCACGTCCGCCACGTCACAGTGTTGTTAAACGGACATATGTGGGTTTTTATAGGGAGAACGCTTGCCAGACGAAAACCCACCACATCCGGGAACACGGTCTCTGAACTGATTGCTGGAATGGGTTAAACCCGAACCACCCAGCTGGCACTACGAGGAGGAGAAATGTTTATTAACTAACTCACAGAGCTTATCGGGGTCGGTAGTGATATTGCCTTCTGATGAGGCAATGGTTATAGCTTGTTGGCGTGTTTTTCCTATCCAAGTCTTACTAAGCGATGTAACATGTGTTTGCGGCTGGGAGCTGCTAGCGCTTGTGCCTCTTGTGACATAAGCTTTCTTTCATGTCGCTCTTGCAAGTTCTTGAGAACTTTCTCAATTTGTACGATCGCACGTATATTATTCATTTTCTTAAACCTAATTCGCAAGCGTTTTAGACGCACCGCAACAGCTTTAGGAATGGAATTTTGAGGACAAGGCAATGGCCGCTTTCTATATTGCAGTGGTCCAAGCAGGGTTGTGCAGTAGGTCAGATGTTAGTAGAACTCATCAGCGGCGATATCTGGCAGACTGTTAGGAATAAGCCATCCCAGTCAAGGAATCTAATAGTCAGAGAGAATCTGTTCCAGTTCAGTTTTGCGATATGGTCGATATTGGGGATCATAGTGAGGGTTCGTTGCCGTTATTTGAGCAACCTTGAAGGTTAGTTGGATAACCTTATGATCGCTCCAAAAGAGATTACTAAGAGTCTGTGTTTGTTCATTGGATATGCTAAATGTGAAATACAGGTCTAGAATGTTACTGCCTCTAGTAAGATAGCATACTTACTGTGTCCATCCACGAGTGACTACTGACGAAAGAAAATTCCGATACTTAGCGAGTGTTGTTCGTTCCTGCCACGAAACATCGGGCGTATTGAGGTCGCCACCTATAATTTTTTGAAAGAACAGCATCTCAGATGCCCATTCGAACAATTCAGTCAATTGGTTTAATTTGGCCTTGGTAGCGCCGAGCGGCACGTAACTGAAACTAACAAGAAAACGACAGTGTTTAATCTTAACCTGTATCCAAACCGAGTCCTCGAAGCTACCTGATGAAGGAGCCTCCAATCTACTCGCTTCTGAAGCATCATTAACGTACACAGCGCAACTGCCACGTCGACCATTAAGACGGCCACTTGCAAAAGTCGTGAAGCCAGGAACACTTGTTCCTGGTTAACTACATCATTTTGGGATAGAAGGCTTGCTGCCTCTAACATCAGCCTGCTAGGACCAGAATAATCTAA